TACCTCCAGAGATAAATTTCCTGAAGCGTTCATTACCATTTGTCCTGTTTTTTTGAGTTAGAAATAGTTGCAAGCTCAGCGTTTCTCTCCTCAGCACAATGGTTACCATGTTGATCATGATGATGTCACCTGGAATCCTCAGTGTTAGTCCCACCCAGGTGTGATTGGAGAGCATGCATACAGGAGAGCAAGGGCTGGTGCGCACCTGGCGAGTCTGTCTGATGATATGTGGGTATGCATGTGAATAAAAGTATTTTATTTTTCAGTACACAAAAACGCAAACTATTGTATATTTGGGCTTTATAAAACCTTATTCTATAGACTTTTAAAACTAGCACATAAATACGATAACTACTGTAAATGTTCTTATCCAGGATTTTCTCCTCTGCTCAGTGAAAATGTCCTGGTTAAGTTTAAGAACAATAGCAGTTGTTTATTTTTTACAATCATTTTCATGAAAATCCTTCCCAGTGGAAGAAGTGCAAAKGATTTAAAGGACATATAGATTTCTAAGAGTTTTGTTGTTACTTTTCGGTTTTTCCACTTTGTGTCACGCTGTGTATTTGTGTTTGTTAAAACTGAAGACTAATCTGTGCTTCCCTATTAATTGTGGGGTACCGCAAGGCTCCATTTTAGGCTTCTTCTCTTTTTAATAAATACTCAATATTTTTCCAGGTTTGTTTGTACACTGGTGGAGATATTTTTCTGTCTGACCTTTAATCATGAAAGAAAAAAAAACAAAAAAAATAAAAAAACCACACACAAATCTATTCATCATTACTGGTTATCTGCTTTTATTAAAATAAAAATCTGTGAATATAAAAGCATTCTGTCTTGTTCCATTTACAAACAGTAAAATGAGAATTTATTAGACTGTGGAATTAAAATTTCATCACAAATATAAGAGCAATGTTTGTGCAAAACAATAACAACTACAAGGACATGAAGTTAATACAGGATGATTTGGGTTTGTTAATATTGTAACTGTTTCTGAAAATCTATCTTTAAAGTTCGTCTTCAAACTGGGTTGAAACTGACTACTGGGTTGAAACTGACTACTATCTCTATTGCTAGCACTTCAGAGTGCTAGCAATAAATACATTTTGTTTCCATGTTTGACGTCATCGTCAATAAAAACCTATTTGTTCTGGTGTTGGTACCTTAGACCCAGTGTGTTTACCTTCTGTAGAACCATCATAAWGTCTTTGACCCTCCGTCTGTACACTGTAGCATCTGTGGGAATAAATGAAATCCTATGTAATGTACACAATACAGCAGTTTGCACTTAAGCTCATCACATTTTTTAAACACTGTTCCTCTTCACTGAAAGAAAGTCTTCTGTTTGAACAGCATTTGCTTTTCAAAAAACACTTTTCAGACAAATTATAGTTTTTTTCTTTCCATGTCAGGTTTCTCCCTCACTTCTTCCACAGCAGCTCATGTTAGGTTCTTTAAGTCTTCATTTATTGTGGATTTAGCTGTAATGCAGGTGAAGAGGAGGTGTCAACTGGAGCAGAAGGAGCAGTGGACTCCTCCCGTCAGGTCTGTGATGGTTCCTTCTCTGACCAGCCTCTGGAGGAACTCAGTTTCTTGGTTCACATTGTGCATTTTCTGCTGCTGCATCAAACTCATGGGCAGGTGGTCGTAGTAGTGCAGCGGCACCCCCGGCTGGGACAGATTGTAGCCGAAGCCCACCAGGCTGACCTCGTCACACAGCAGGCTGGCCAAGTTGAGCGCGGACACTCCCAGGGTCGGCACATTCTGCAGGAACAAGAAACAAAACTAACAGTGAGTATTTGCTTTTAGAAATCAAATAATGTTTATAGGCTCTTATTGGCTGCGTTCCCATTGACCATGAAAATGCGCAAATTAAAATTTCGAAAATAAATTTGCTCAATGGAAACACGTCAGTTTTGAAAAAATTACATTTTTCGACAAAATGTTTTTGCTCTAGGATGAGGTGGTATTTTGGCCACATCAAAATTGTTGTTTTTCGCAAAACTGCAATGGAAACAGTTTTTTCACATCACAGGAGTCACG